AAAAAAAAAGACAGTGACTATCTACCTAGAAAACTAAGACACTTGTATAAAGTTGATTCTTAAAAGATTCATATACAAAAATTTATAAAATCTCTAAAGAGCAGCATAAAATAATGATGATACATAATTGAAAGAAGTACTCTTATCATAAAAGTAAGCAAAAAATTAAGTGCTCATGTGTGTGTCAGAAAATACGGGGAAGAACTGTGTGAGCTATTGAAGATAAGTTATAAAAAAACTCACACATAATGTTAAGATTTAAATGGGAAGATGTGATACTAAAAAGACAAGTTTTCCCAAATTACTCCATGAGTTCTATTATCAAAATATTATAGGGAGGTTGGTGTTTTTTTTTTGCTTTTTACCTTGAATGTCAAAAAGTATTAATAAATAGTTGAGAAAAATCTGGAGTCAGGGTGGGAGGAAGAAAAAACAAAAACCAAAAGTAGGATTTCAACTGAATCAACTGGAAAACTCTTTAAAAAGCCATCCTAAGTAGGACACTACAATATGGATACAAGAAGAAGCCATTATACTAGTAAATTATTATTAAAAAGCCCAGATACAATAAAAAATATATATATGTGGAAATAGTATGTGAGAGAAGTAGGTATCAATTTCTAATAACTTTAATCTACTTCTGGGCCAGAAGTTATATTTGGTCTCTTAGTTTTTCATTGATATTTCAGATTTGAGTAGACTCCCTTAAAATCGTTTATATTATTGGTGAATATTTGAGTGAATAGAGAATTAAACTGAAGAAAATGGCAATACATTCTTTAATAAATAATTGTGTATTGGCAAAGGAAAAATTCTATCCATAAAATAAAAATATATTATCGACTTGTAAAAATAAAATTCTGAAATTGTAAAATTATTTAAAATTTGGAAACCAAAATGTGAAGTTAAGAGTTTATGCATATCACAATATTTATTTTAAGCATTTCAACTGTAAGACACATATATCGTACTGTATAACTTACAACCTTTCCAATATGTTAAGATTGGGAGAAGTCTTTGAGTATTCATTAATAAGTTTAGATTTAGTTTTATTTTTCAAAAGTTCCGTCCCCCCCCCCCTTTTTTTTAGTGCTGATATGTTTTTATTCTGTTCTCCTCTGGCAGAAGTACTAGGAAATAGGATAACAAGTATTCATATATACATGGGATTTTTTTTTTTAAGACCCGCTATCCTCTTTTTTGTTGTTGTTGTTGGACCCGCTATCCTCTGATACTCTTTTTTTCCTCTCTCTGAATGTTTTTTATTCTGGATTTCTGAGTTGTGATGATTTCAGTTGACAATTTTAGTACTTTATTACTTAAGCATTATTTTTTCTAGTTCTGTGGAAAGTTAGGAGTCCTGATGTAGTGCTGTGGGTTAACATGCTGGACTGCAAAGTTGGTTTGAACTGCAAAGTCAGCAGTTCAAGCTCATCAGCCACTCCTCAGAAACCCTATTATACAGGGTTGCTATGGGTTGGAACTGACTCAACGGCACTTAACAACAATAACAACATAGAAAGTTAAGCAGAAAAATGAAGCAGGTAATCTTTAAAGTATTTTTCTATTAAAAGGAAATTTAATAACTTTTATGGTGATAGCATTTTTTTTTTTTTCTTCCTAATATAGGAGATTTTTCCAGAGCATGGGATGTTCTTCTTGACCACATACAATCAGCAGCACTCAGCAAAAACAATGAAGTCTCATTAGCTGCTCTGAAAAGCTTCCAGGAAATTTTACAAATTGTGTCCCCTGTCAGAGACTCAGAGAAGCCTGAGACACCACCTGCAGTTAATGTACCTGTGCCTGCCCTTATAGGATCCATATCAGGCCCTACACTGAGCAGGCCATTTGTAAGAACAGATTCCATTGGAGAACGACTTGGAAAATACAGTAACCCAGAACCACCTATAGTTAATGATGAGCTTGAAGATTTGAATCTTTGGTGGGCTGCATGGAATACCTGGTATAAAATCGGATCTGAAAGCACTAAGCCTCCTATTACTTTTGATAAACTAACTTTCATTCCCAGCCAGCCTTTTCTTACAGCTTTAATTCAGATATTCCCTGCTCTCTACCACCACATAAAAACTGGTTTCAACATGGACGACTTGCAGAAGTTGGGAGTCATATTGCACAGTGCTGTTTCAGTCCCAATAAGCTCAGACGCATCCCCTTTTATTCTTCCATCTTACACTGAAGCAGTTTTGACAAGTTTACAGGAAGCTGTGCTTACAGCTTTAGATGTTCTCCAAAAGGTAATACAATTTTAGTTGCTATATAAGCAATAATTCAGTTTCTGGTTTTTTAGGGGTTTTTTTGGCTTTGCTGTATATATTTTGGATTAAATTCAGAATTGCCAAGATCCAATTATTTAAAAGCCTGTGATTTTCTGATTTATAAAAAAGGTAATTGAAATCTATTTTGAGTCTTTTTTAGGAAGCTGCATGCGTACATCCTCTGATTTCTGCTTACCAGCATTTTTGTTGGTTTGGTCGTGCAGCTCCTCACAAGAGGATATAATATTTGGAATACAGTTTTAGCAAGAATTTTTATGAGTAGAAAGTTAATAAGAAGTGGGATTATATATATGGTACTGTAGGATAAGGACTGGACTGCTAACCATAAGATTGGTGGTACAAACCTACCAGCTGCTCCTCAGAAATCCTATACATGGTTACTGTGATTCAACACTGACTTGACTGCACACAGAACCATCTTAAATTTAGGTTTGAAATTTTTGGAAGCTCATGTAAAAAGAGTCATGAATACATTTATAAAAGCATTTTCCCACAGAAATTTTTGAAAAAAAGATGCATTTTTAGCTTTAAGTGTGTTTTATTATTAACAAAACAACTTCTTAAAACAGACCTCTCATTGAGCAAATCCAGGGTAGCAAAAAAGAGTTTTCAGAGCATCAAAGCAATTGTAAGCACAGTAACCACCAAAATGCTGAACAAAAATATATCAACTGAATAACCAGCAATTTCAACAAAGTAGCTATGGAATTCTAATAAAATGAAAATGGAACTGTTTTCTAAGCACACATGTGTAGCTGTTTGTGTAATATAAATCATGCTTTCTAATTAACTGATTATATTATATCCAGCTGGAATGATGAAAACTTTCATAGTGAGAATGGTGATATTTCCACTGTGCCACGATACCTCTTAATTGCCTCTGAAAGAAATCTATCTGATTAATACTTCTTTAATCCTATTTGCATTGTACAGGGAAACAAATGTAGAGATTATTAATATTTAAGAGAGTCTACCATTTAAAAATATTGAATATTCACTGTTCAATCTTGAGTATTTCATTTTGCCTCTTTGAGCCTAAGTGGGTTTTTCGTCCTCTTCGAAAACAGGGGTTTCTGTTTTGGGTAGTGCTCAATGAAAGAATGCATATGAAAGATATGTGTATAAGAGTAGTTTATAATCCTATAATGTTGTTATACAAATAGCAAGAGCTGTCGTAACTATTGGTAAAATTTTTGTGTGGCTCCCTTTTGCCTTCAGTCTAAACTTCAAAGCCAGACTGTAGGGTCTGGCTTCTTCTAGATGATGCTTCTCTCCTTTATGTTTCCAGAATCATTTTGGGCCAGAGGAACTTTAGAGTTTATACTCTCCTTGAAGCCTTTTCAGTCCCAAACATTTTGAACTATATAGGTGTTCTCAGCTGTAATAATGTATTATTTTCTTATTTGTCTTAACCACTTTACTGTGAATTCTTTAAGGCAAAGACTTTATTCCCCTTGTTCATTCTCAAGATATAAAGTTGTTGTTGTTAGGTACCATCGAGTCGGCACCAACTCATAGCAACCCTATGCACAGCACAACAAAACACTGCCCGATCCTGGGCCAACCTCACTATTATTGCCACACTTGAGTCCATCGATGCTGCCACATGGCCAGTCCATCTTGTTGGGGGTCTTCCTCTTTTTCTCTGACCCTCCATCCTACCAAACATGATAATCCTTCTCCAGTGACTGGTGCTTTCTGACAATATGTCTGAAGTAGGAGAGATGAAGTTTGGCCATCCTGGCCTCCAAGGAGCACTCTGGCTGCACGTATCATTCATTAAATGTTGGATACATGAACAATATAAAAACAAATGCAAATTTTGTGGATTAATGTGATGTCCCTCAGAGCAGAGTGTAGCGGTCAGCTACCAACCTAATTTTGAGAAAGGATCCCTAGATCTAATTTTTTTTTTTTTAATTAAATGTTTTTATTTTGGATTGAGTGAAAGTTTACAGGGCACATCATCAGCTTCACATTCAACCATTCATATAGCTTGTTTCATTACATTGATTATTA